AAAAAAAAAAAATCTAGATCAGTTTTCCAATTTTTCCAAAAAGATAAATAACCCCCAGTGTGATTTTTGGTTGGGGTTGCATTGAATCTATGGGCCACATGTAGAAGAAATGACATTGTATTGTAATTGCTGTTGTGTTTTTACAATGAACATGATACATCTCTCTATTGAGATCTTAATTTTTGTTCTTGTTTTTAATTTAATTTTACTCCAGTTTTTGAGTGCCACACTGTCATTGAATTTCTTTTTAGAAATTTTATTTTCTTGTTGTTGGTGGAAATTGGAAAAATTCAAGTATTTTTGGGTAGGTGGGCTTTGTGTCTACTAGCCTTGCTGAACTCAGTAATTCTATTCATAGATTATTTTGGATTTCTGCACAGACAATCATAGCGTGAAACCCAGGTTAGAATCCGACTGCCCTGGATTTGAATTTTAATCTTATTTACTAAACATACCACTTTCATGGAGTGACTAGTTTTCTTCTAAAGCCCATTTCCCTGTCTAAAGAAATGTTATTTATAGTGAAGTCTGAATGAGAAGAGGGCACAGGGCATCATCAGTGTTTGGATTTCCCCATTCATCGTCTTTGTGCCTTCAACTTCCCTTCATGCCACAGTCTTCAGCTCCGGGTCATTTGTGGAATGCCCTCTCGTTTTCTAGCAGCACTCTCCACAAATGACCCATCATCAGCTTCAGTGGATTTCTTGACAGATCTGTGGCCTCTAGCATCTGCCCCCTTGTGGAGTTCAGGAGGCAGATGCTCCTCTTTGATGGCTAGACAGCTATAGGTCTCTGCTACAAATGTTTTCTCAAGAGAGCTGATAGTGCAAGTCCTTACTTGAAGTCATTCCACAGTCTCCGAAATACTTGCAAGACACAGACAGAATTCTTGAGTGTGAATGGGCTAGGCTATTGGTTCTCAACCTGTGGGTCATGACCCCCCTTTGGAGGGTCAAACGATACTTTCACAGGGGTCACATATTAGATATCCTGCATATGGATATTTATTTTGTTTCAAAACCCTAACAAAATTACGGTTGTGAAGTAGCAGCAAGAATAATTTTATGGTTGGCAGTCCCTACAACATGAGGAACTGTGTTACAGGGTTGCAGCATTAGGAAGGTTGAGAACTACTGATCTAAGCAGAGGAAATACACAGCACAAAAGTCCACCAACATGAGACCCTTTATACTTTTCACTTGTTCAAACCCACTTAGCATAGCCCTCTCCCACAGCACAGGTACGCCCCATGTGTAGGCTGTCACTTTTTAAATATCCTTTTCTATAGCTTTTTCCTCATTGCTTTTTTTTTTCTTCCTTTTTCTCAGTCATGCCTGTTCACCATTCAAAACTAAAGAGAGTCCTTCAAGGACTCTCCTCTTGTGCCTCTTGTCAGTCCGGTCACCTCACATCATCAGAGCAAATGGCACCCTGACACTTGGAGCTGTCCTCATGGTGTTCTGGGGTGAGGAAATGGTGTGTTTGGGGATTCTCAAGGGCTTAGACTACTGACACTGGTTTTCACACGGGAATTTTTAGAGATGCAGATTCTTGGCCTTTACCCCAGATCTATTGAATTAGAGATTCTGGCGAGCCCAGCAGCAGCCTGCATCCTCATAGGTGTTCTAGGTGGTCCCAACACTAAGGAACCAGACCACTGGTCACATTTGTTTCCCAAACTGGTCAGGTCTGTGCCAGAACATGTTAAAATGAAGTGACCACAAGTCATCTGCCTCAGGAGTCTTTTTAACTTCCTTTCCCAGTCCTCTACATCCTCATGAAACTTTGTCTCCTTTCGTTACCTGTGTCTGGTGGCTCTCAATTGTTTCTAATTCCAACTCCAGGGGATCTGATGCCCTGTTCTGGCCTCATTGGGTACCTGCATACATGTGGCATACACTCACACATACTCACATAGGCATAAATAAAAATAAAACAGAAAAATCCAAACAGTGATATGTACTGTATGACAATAACATGAGGTGATAGGGTAGTGAATAGTGAGCTGAATAACCTAACCAGCCAAGTTGAAATCTGCAGGCTTTGGTGAGTTTGGGGAGGGTGAGTGGGAGACCTGAGAATAGTGGATAGAGGCAGTCATGGATGGAGTTTGAGGCTTCACTCCCTAGCTTGCTGGGGAGGTTCCTGGAGAGGGATATGTAGGTTGAGTAATGATACTCACACTAGTGCCTATTGATGAAAGGTTACTCTGGCTGCTGAGGGTATAAAATATGCTCCACAAAGGCAAGAAGTAGAAAGGAGGAAGCCAGTTTGGGGGCTGTGGAATACCTGGGTGGACACTGAGGCAACAGAGGGAACAAGTGTTTGACCACACGTCCCTGGTGCCACATACTCGGGTTTGAGTCTTGGTTCCACCCTAATAGGCTTTGAGCAAGTCACTGAAGCTTACTCTGTCTCAACTTTCTAATCTGTAAGAGGGGATAATATTGACACTCAACTCTTCGTTTGTAGGGATGACTCAGTAAGCTAATACAGGTGAAATGGGGCCACCATTTGTGTGTTGTTATTACTATTGTTCTGTTAACAGCAACAGTTGCCATTATACATAAAACAATGGGTTTAGAGTATGCTTGCAAGCTGAATTGACATGATTTACTGATAAATTGAGTCTTGAGGGAGATGTAAAGGAGAAAAGACTTCTAGGTTTTTACCAACTGACTAATTAGTGGTGTTTAATAAGAGCAAGCCACAGGGGGATGGTTTTGTGGGGTGATGGGATGAGGGTTACCAAGAGTTCATCTGAACTGGGGGAAGGTCTAAGGTCCATGTAACACATCTGAGGTGTCTGGA